AAAAAAAAAAATTCCAAATATTTTTCTTAATAATTGCAAATGTTGTTACATTTAAAATTTTCTTACGTCTCACGTGGTGTATTCTGTACATTGTTGCGTTTCAATGAGCTGTGTATATGCAATATATCTATACTCTCTCTCTTTTCCCTCTCACTGCTTACATAATATATGCTCACTCGTATACATACATATGTTATGTACATATCAGGAAAAAACACCAAAGCATTTTGATCTATGCAAGAGCAATGCAAAGTGGACGTCATGTACAGAAAAGAACGAATTTGAAACTGTTAAGAAGTTCGATTTGTTTTTTTCTGTTAATGCGACACGCGTTATCTTGTTAATTTCAAAAAAACGGTAAAAATAGTTCCTGAAAGCAAAGTGTGAATTTTTTTTTGCCCATTCGTTAGGTACTTTTATATAGATTCACGTGATATATGTGAATATAGGCGACACTTTCTAGTTTGGCCGCACTAGAGTGTCAAATTTGGGGGTTTTTCCATATGCAATTTTCGCTAACATACCAAATTTCAAATACCGTTTAAAATAGTTCCCATAAGCAGAATTTGAATTTGTTTAGTTTGTTTGAAAAGTTGTTTTATATGGATTCATGAAATGTCCACAAAAATATTTTCTTCCTTTTAATATGGACGGAGTAGGCTTTCAAACCAACTATCTCTCAATTGTAATTGTGAGGTATGTTAACAGAAATGTTAGGTGTCTTTCCTAGTTAAATTCGAATTTATCTTCACACCCTTAGAAAAGTTAACTTATGATAATATTAAACATAAAAAAACACAAAGTGGACTTATTCCTTTTCGCAAACAAAAAAGTCATTTTATTAATCTTGAAAGTGATTTAAGTCCACTTTAAGTTCTGAAGCACAGCTTATTTTTCTAGTAAAGTTTACAAAACGCATTACGTTGTATATTCTAACATGTTTAAAGTCACAAAGCCATGAAAACAACTTAATACCAGTTAACAATATTTTTGAAACAATTCAAACGCAAACCCTTAAATATCTCAATTTAAGAAAAAATGGACTTAAACCACTTTCAAAATAAACGGCACATTTAAAGAAATTTTTTATGTATTATAATTTAAATTCCTTATGCTCTCTTTTATTTTACCCTTGCTATATATTTTTACTAAGTATCTTTTTATATTTTATTGCTAGCTTATAAAGGAAAGTCTCTCGTAAACTCTTCTGAAATACTTACAAGTTGTGAAAAATTTGCGCATGTGGTGTCAGGGAAAGCAGTTCAGTTGGATCCTCAATTTGTGTTTATAGATGCCGTAACAGAATCGATAAGGGAAGTTTTGAACCTCTTTTTAAAGAATTGAAAATGTGGGAACTTCACAGTGGACTATTGTTAATAAAGTGCAATTATGCAGGAAATAAATGCGAGACTGTTTCAAAACAACGCTTTCATCAGACGGCATAGCATGCCACAAAGGCCGCAAAAGAGACGAGTTCGTGGAAACAAGATATAGTGACCGGAATCCTTTTAGATGAAGTTTCGACTCAGAAGCTTTAACTATTTATAACGGTAAATTAAATTAGTTTATTAGATCAATTATGTGATTATAACCCCCAATATTTATTTCTCTTCTCCAAAATCAGGCAAGCAGACCAAACTTCATTTGCAAGTTCAATAGCGAACGCTATTCAAGCTTGTAGCCCACCCAATCTACTTTTATTCAATGGAACTTTCAATGGTTCAAAATTAAAGTTTTACAGATGAAAGGTAAGAAATGTAAATATTCCTTCTTATTCTCCAATTGAACTTTGGTACCACCATATTCCGGCAAGAGCACACGAGCACTTTCTTTAACTGAAAGGGCAATATCAGCGCCAGTTTGGTAATTCCATGGGCCCGGCCCTACGGCAACAAAGGTGTCTTGCATCATTTTAGTTTGCGATTTTTCGGGCAAGCCGCCTTTAGTTGTTATCATTGATTCAGCACGTTGTACCAATATACCGTCCAACATAAGGATAATTTTCGTAATTGCATGAACGGCTATTCCTAAATTTAATTTTCAAATGCTAAATTCGGTAAATACAAAGCTTTAATATTGCCAGAAAGTTCGGGAAACTTTCTTGCAGAACATGTACTACCGCCTTATCAATGCTTAGTTGTGAATATATTGTAAAGTTATCTGCTTGAATTTATTCTCAATTGTTTTCCTCATCGATTTGTATGGCTTTGATTGATTACTCCGCTAATCGTATTATCTAAGTTAAGTGCTGACAGTCCTAAGCAGCGCTTTAATGAACCTTAAAAATTATTAATTAAAGTGCTGCGGGTTTTCAAGTCATACACTATGTAAACAACTTCCTCGGATTAATCAACCACAGTTCAGTATACTTGAACGCATATAGTAGAGAGTTCTTAGGCAACCATTTGTATTGAGTTGCTGTATACGTAACAGAAACGGATCACTATTTTACACAGTGATTTAACCAAATTAAAGTTATTAAGTTATAATCGAAAACACATTGAAAGATCTTGAAATTCACGATTTACTTATTATACGTATTTGTAGAAGTGTGAGAAGAAAAGGAGAAGATCTTAAGTTGAAACTTCAGGGCAATATCAAATTTAAATTTCCTTTCTTGTTTTATCGCTAATCGATTGCTCAATCATGCAAGGATTTGTGAATATTAAATTAATATTAAAGTATTATCATCAATAGCATTTCCAGAAGCTCTAGAATATAGAAAGTAGACATCTGTGCACTCTCTTTCCTGACCCTTCCGTCTATTTTTTATCACTTTGTGAGAACT